CTTTCCAACAAATCTCCCACTTTCGACTTATTAGGAGATTATTGATGGACCCACTTTATCTCGAGAAACATCAAGCTTTTTCATGGTCAATGTTTTTGTCATCATATATGAACTATTGTGGTTGGTATGGATCTTTTCCAAATGCAATAACTTAGCTTCAAATACTTCTCGTGTCGAATGATACCTTACGTCTATATGTTTGGAACGGGCATGGAAAGTAGGGTTTTTCGTCAAATGAATAACACTTTGGCTATCATAGTAAATTGTATACTTATCTTGTTTAATCCCTAACTCTTGTAGGAAATTCGTCATCCACAATAGCTCTTTACAAGCTTTTGTCACAACAATATACTCGACTTCCGTAGTTGATAATGCAACACATTTTTATAACCTTGACTGTCGTGATACAACTCCCCCTGCAAAAGTCATCTATAGCCTGATACTGACTTTTGCGAATCAACATCATTTGTCATATCTGCATATGTGTATCCTTTTAACACAGGATCTCCTTGACCAAAACCTAAGCACATTTTTTATGTGCCCTGTAAATATCTTGGAATCCATTTTACACCTTCCCGGTGTTCTTTCCCTAGATTTGAGAGAAACCTATTGAAAACACCTACTGAATAGGCAATGTCTAGTCTTGTAAAGACCATAGCATACATCAAACTACCAACTGCTGACGAATAAGGAACTTTATTCATCTATTCTCTTTCTTTCTCACTTGAAGGACATTGTTGAGAACTCAACTTAAAATGACTTGCAAGTGGAGAATTTACTAGTTTAGCCTTATGTATATTACCTCTCGAGTAACTTCTTAATATATCTTTCTTGTGACAACCATAACTTCTTATTTTTCTTGTCACGTGAGATCTTTATGCCTAGTATTTATCTTGCTGGTCCTAAGAGTTTCGTGGCAAAGAACGTATTCATCGCCTTTATCAAGTTAGCGATTTTATTGGTGTCGCGGCCAATAATTAATATATCATCAACATAGAGGAGTAACATAATAAAATCTCCCTCTGCAAATCTTTTGATGAACACACAATGATCTGATGTCGTCTTATGATACTTATGATCCTTTATAAAGGATTTAAATTTTCGATACCATTGTCACGGAGCTTATTTTAAACCATACAAGCTCTTATTCAAACGACATACCATGTGCTCTTTTCCTTCAACTTGAAATCCCTCAGGTTGTTCCGATCCATATATATTTCTTCTTCTAAATCACCATGTAGGAAGGTTGTTTTCACATCTCGTTGTTCAATTTCTAAATCCATGCATGCTGCCATCTTGAGAACAACTCATATTGACAACATTTTCACCACAAGTGAGAATATTTCTTCAAAGTCAATACCTTTCATTTGACTAAACCCCTTCACAATCAGCCTTGCTTTATATCTTGGTTGTGGATTATTTTCTTCAGTCTTCAATATGAACACCCACTTATTTTTGAGTGCTCGTCGACATTTTAGTAATTGTACCAAATCAAATGTATGATTCTCATGCAAGGATCTTATTTCATCTTGCATGGCTTCAATCCACTCTTTTTGGTGAATATCTCTTAGAGCCTCATTATAATACTTTGGTTTACCACCTTCAGTGAACAACTGATAGTCACCACTTGCAAATTTTGCTGGAAGTCGTTTATCTCTATTAGACCTTCTTAACTCTAGTGGTAATGGTGGTTGATTTTCTTGTTGTGTGTTCCACATTCAATTCTCATGATTATCATCATAATCGCCTATATTGTGAGGATGATCTTCTTAGTTTACTTCTACCCCATGATCATTGATTACACCCGGGAAAGGAATTAGATTCATAATTATCGGCAATTCTTTATGGGATGTTTAGACTTTCCTAATTTTTGTATGCCTTCAATGGTTTAATCTTCAAAGAAGACGACATCTCTACTTCTGACAATTTTTCTTTCAAAAGGACTCCATAAATAATCTATAAAAAAACTCATCTTTGGGATAGCCAAGAAAAAAACATTGTTTTCTCTTGCCATGCATCAAGTTTTGATCTCTCATCCATTAGGATATGAACAAAGGCTTCACATCCGAACACCTTTAAACTTTCATAATTTACTTTTCTCCCTGACCATATCATTTGTGGAACTTCACTATCAAGTGGAACTGAAGGAGAAAGATTTGATCAAATGAACTGCATGTTTAACTCCCCCCCCCAAAAAAAATGATTTGGGTAACCTTGCATGAGATAACATTGAACGAGCTTTTTCAATGATCGTACGATTCATCCTTTCTTCAATACCATTTTGTTAACGCGTTTTTGGGATAGTTTTGGCAAGCTTTATCCCATACTTCCTGTATTATTCTTCAAATGGACCTTTATATTCACCACCATTATCAGATCGTATACCTTTTTAATTTCATGCTTATTTCTCTCTCTACTTTTGCATGAAACTCCTTGAACGCATCAAGGACTAGGTCTTTACTTTTCAAAAGATAGACCCATACTTTCCTGGAATGGTCATCAATAAATGTGACAAAATAAGATGCCCCACCAAGAGATTTTTCTATCATAGAACATACGTTCGTGTGAATCAAATCTAGAACTCGTGGTCTTTTAGATGGTGGATTTCTTTGAAATGAAACTCTATGTTGTTTTCCAGCTAAATAATCAACACAAGATTTCAAATGAACATCCTTCAACAAAAGAAGTTTCTTTCAAGTGAGGATTTGCAATCGCTTATCACTCATAAGCCCGAGCCACGTACTTATTCCATAACTTAATAGAATATGCTTCGGGTAAATTCATTTGTGTGTTGAGCTTCCCATTTGTGACATAAAGGGTTTGTTGCTTTTTTCCATGAGCAATGATTATCGAGCCTCTTAAAAACTTCCACTTTCCATTAGAAAAGTGATTTGCATACCCTTCATCGTCAAGTTTGCCAGCTGAGATCAAATTCAGCCTTATATCTGAAACATGTCTAACATCATGTAAAGTTAGCTTGCACCTTGCATTGGTTTCCAAGAAAACATCTCCATTACCAATTATTTTGGAGGATCCATTATTTCCCATCCTCACAAAGCCAAGATCGCCGCTAGTGTACGATGTGAAGTAATCTTTGTTTGCAGTTAGATGATATGAAGCATTGTACCAGTATCAATCACCCAGCTACAATCTTCATTTGTCAGGTTATAACATGAGTCATCACCTGCAAAATAAAATTCATCACCAACTGTTGTAGCCATGACATTTTTCTTGTCGGACATTATTGTCACTCTTGTCATTCTGTGATCGCATGTCCCTCTTTGTAATACTCCGTATTTTTATGTATTTTTATAAAGTATTTAAGTATTTATAAAATACATTTTAAGGGCTAAAATATTTTAATTAAATATTTTAAAGGGTTAAACTATTTTACTATAAGTTTTTATACAAGTAAAATATATTTTGGGTCAAACGTTTATTAATTATTGGGCCTTGCTTAAAATATTGTATGTAACCTAGGCCTACATACTCTTATTGGAATAACTCATTTCATTTATATAAGCTCAACCCTTTATTTGAACCCTTGTGGGTCAAATATTCCATACCTCAAGCCCATTTATTTATTGAGCCCAAACTTAAACCATATTCTCTACTCTATAAATACCTCTCAAAACCCTAAATTTTTCCCACACAAAAAGGCTCAAAAATCAAATTGGGGTAAGTATTATTTTCTTTTTCTTTTTCCTTATTTTTCTTTCTTTTTCTTTCTTTCCTTTCTTTATTTTCTTTTCTCCCTAATTCTTTTCTTTTTTCCCCTTTGTTCATACGTGGGAATGATGAGGTTGTTGCTTCCTCCACTTGCTGCCGCCCCCACGACCACCGTGTTGCCGCCACTCCGTCCACCTTCCTGCGACCCACGTCACCCAACCATCGTCTAGCCACCGACCACCACCGTGAGCCTCCCCTTCTCCCCTCCTTGTTTTAGTTATTATTCCCATAATCATATATGTTGGGTATTGATTTTAGTTGTCTAAACATGATTAGTATGTTTTATAATTATTTTTTGATGATTAAAGATTGTAAATTTAAGATTATAAAGTGTTTTATTTTCAGATTTTATAAGGTATTAAAAGTTAGGGTTTTAATTATAAAAGACTTGATTTTTAGGGTTCTAACTTGCAATTAATTTGGGGGTTTTATATACCCATTGATTGGAAGTGTTAATAAAGCTTAAAGATTGAATCTTTATGGAGTTTTGATGAGTTTTTAATTAAACTATATTGCTGGAATTTTATTTAAAGTAGTAAAATTGAGATTTTAATAAAAAGGTTTAACCACCCATTAAAGAAGAGTTTAATCAGGGGTTTAAAAATAATTTTCAGATTTATTTAATTGATCTAAATTAAATTTAAGTTGCAGGAAATTGTGTATATAAGGAGAAGTAATATCGTATTATTGTCCCTAGGGGTGTACAAAAATTGGCCCGGACCTGAAACCGGACCTGAAACGACCTGAACTGGACCGGACCTGACCCGGACCTGTTGATTCAGGTCCGGTCCCGGTTCTTAAAAATCCAGGTTCCCGGTCCGGACCCGGTCCAAACCCGGGGTTTTCAGGTCCGGACCTGAAACCCGGGAAAATCGTAATTAAAAAAAAAAAAAAAAAAAGAAAACCAAACTCTGAAAAATTGAAACTGACGTTAAAACTTCTCTTTCATATTTTTAAGTTCTAACCCTAACTCCCTAAGCCCAAACTGATTCTCTCAGCCTCCCTCAATCTCAACTTCTCAACGCGGCTGTCCCAACTCGCTCCGTCCACCGCCCACTGCCGACACCTCCCTCATTCTCTCAGGCGATGCACACCGATAATATCTGGTAAGTATTTGCTTATAATTTTGGTATTTTTAATTCGAAATAATAAATTTAAGTGTGAGAATTTATATGTTTATTCTTGTTTCAAATTTTCAATTGCTTTTAATGATTGTTTATTTGTTTGATGTTTGCATGTTGAATTTCTTATTTTTAGTTCATCTCTTTCGAATTTCTGTTTTTTTTTTGGTTTTTTTGAGTTTAGGGTTCATAAGAATTAAGAAGTTTAGGGTTTAGGGTTCAAGTGCGAAATTTAGTTCGAAATTTTGTGTTTATTATGATTATTAAGATTAATTTAGTGCGAAAATTTGTGTTTATTCCTAAAGTATAAGTTATTCAAGGTAATATATGTCTCCACTTGAATTTGTCTTGATGATGAGAAATACAAAAAAAAATCCATCATTATCTCAATCAATATTTCTGTATAATACAAAAAACTGCTAAGTATGTACTCTATTGTATATTTGTATGCATTATTAGTCTCTGTGTTTGAATGTTATATGTGGCAATTCAATTTCACATTGTATTATGAATAGTTGAATATATACCATAATACCAACCTGCAAATTGATCCAACATAATGCGGCACAACTTAGTAACTTACTACTTCGTAATAAATTTTGATCGTTGAGAAATTTTTTGGATGAGTAGTGAACTAGTGATTCATTATATTAATCATTGTTTGGTTTTCTAATGAATAATGAATGGACTTGCACTTATTAAACTAACTCATACTCCGTATCATATACGCTATTTACCTGGTATTGATATTTCTAATGTGTATATATGGACACTTTTTAAGCTAACTTATACTTTAAAATTTGTGTTTATTCCTGCTAGGCTGCTAAAAGTATGGACTCAGATTATTAAGATTAAATAAGTTGGCTAACCTGTGTGTAGTTCAGGGGTTCTTATTTTTGTTTTTATTCTTGCAGGGAGTGAAGGAAGTCAAGGAACCACGGATTCTTATTCTTGCAATGTAAGTTGCTCTTAAATTTTTTTATAAAATGGTATGTGTATATAATTGTTACTTTAAAATTACTTATATTGTATATAATTATATTGTAGATGGAGAGCTCTCAATCCAAACGGTCTGCTTCTTTTTCTGAACAAACGTCACAGCCACTTTCTGAAAAGGATATGGAAGAATTGCAATCTACTTTGCCTCCTGATAAGAAGCTAAAAGCGGGGCGGGAATATATATGGAACAGAAAAAGTAAGAGGAAAGCTGAGTATTGGAAATATTACTTAGAGTACGTCGAGAATGGAAAACTACGAGCTGAATGTAAGTTCTGTCCTAAAACTTTTGCTGCTGATGGTAATCTTAATGGTTCAAAAAATGTTAAAAACCATGCAGAATCATGTCTCGGTAATCCTATTAATTTAGAAAAAGAAAAGGGCAAAGAAAAGCAAACTAAATTGTATTTTGATCAAGAACATGAGAGTAGTGAATTAAAGTGTGGGAGTAGGATTATTAACTTGAATGATGTTAGAGAGGCATTGATTCACATGATTATTGTTGATGAGTTACCATTTAAGCATGTGGAAAAACCCGGTTTTAGGCACTTTGTGCAAGTTGCATGTCCACAATTTCACATTCCATCTCGTGTTACCATTGCTCGTGATTGTTTAAAGTTGTATTATAGTGAAAAAGAGAAATTGAGAGAAATGTTTAAGACATGTCAAAGAATTTCTGTGACCACTGATACTTGGACTTCAATACAAATAATTAATTATATGTGTCTTACAGCTCATTTCATTGATAATGACTGGAAATTGAATAAAAAGATCATAAATTTTTGTCCAATTTCTAGTCATAAAGGAGAGGCTATTGGAAAAGCATTTGAGGCATGTTTAGAGTATTGGGGTATTGATGATAAACTTTTTACTGTCACTGTTGATAATGCTTCTTCAAATGATGTTGCTTGTGCACACTTGAGTAGAATGGTTAGAAGAACAGGATGTATAAATGATGGAAAAAATCTTCATGTTAGATGCATTGCTCATATCATTAATTTAATTGTGTGGGATGGTATTAGAGAACATGGTGTGTGCATTGATAGAGTTAGAAATGCTGTAAATATGTTAAGAATTCCCCTGCAAGAATACTTAGATTCAAAGATCTTGTGCAAAAAGCAAACATAGATTCAAAATCTTCTTTATCCTTTGATGTCCCCACTCGTTGGAACTCCACATACATAATGTTGGAAACGGCTTTGAAGTTTCGACGTGTTTTTAGTGGGTTATCTCTTCCTGATGGAGAGGATTTGAATGACAATGAAAGGCCTCCCGAACCCGAAGATTGGGAAAAAATGGAGAGGTTGGTTTTGTTTCTAGAGGGGTTTTATCTGTTAACTAAACGAATTTCTTGTTCCCATTATGTGACAGCTAATAAAGGTTTAGGAGAAATTGCTTCTATGTATGATATGTTGAATAATTGGGAACAAAGTGAGGACTTGAATTTTCAAGCTATGGCCATTGCAATGAAAAAAAAGTTTGATAAGTATTGGGGGGATGTGGATAAGATGAATAAGTTCATTTATGTTGCTCTTCTTCTCGACCCTCACTCTAAGATGGTCATTGTTGAATTGACACTAACGGATATGCATGGACCGGAAAAGGGTACAAAACTTGCTAATGATGTGAAGGAGTTCGCTTACTCTTTATTTGAGGAATATAGAAAAATGTATGCTACTTCTAATATTCCAGATTGTGGAGATAATATGTCAATGGATATTGATAATCGTTATCTTTTTATTTTATAAAATCAAGTTTGTTTATATCTTAATATGACTTTGTTTATACATATTTGTGTAATATTTTTGTATTGAAGATGGTTCAAGCGTTACTTTGCACACAAGATTGGCTTAGAGCTAAGGAAGTGCCAATTGTTGATGTGGAAGAAAATTTGAAAGAGTTAGAGGAAATAGAGAAAGGTAGTAATAATTTTATGTATTTGAAATTTTGTTACACCAAATTTATTATCTCAATGTTATCAATCATTAATATATTCTATATTGTATTTTATTTAGAGGTGCAACGTGGTGAATCTAACGATGTAGACGATGAAGTTGTTTTCGTGGAATCATTAGTGTGAATCACGCGATCAAAGGGAAAACAACTCGTTGGAGAATTTATGTATTTCTAGTACTTGAGAGTTGAGACTTAAGAGAATTTACGTAATTTTATGAGTTTTCGTGGACTTATTTGTATTTTCGGTGGACTCATTTGTATTTTTGGTGTTTGAGAATCGGGACTTTATAGACTTTATGTAGTTTTGTAATTGATAATTTTGGTTTGTATGTAATTATTAAATTATGCAACAGGTCTAAAAATCACAAAACAGGTCCATATGCAGGTCCATATGCAGGTCCAACAGGTTTTGTATTAAAAAAAAAAACGAAAAAGACACAAAACAGGTCCATTCAGGTCCAAACCCGGACCGGACCTGATTTTTGTATTAATTCAGGTCCGGTCCCCGGTCCTCATAATTACCCAATTCAGGTCCCCGGTCCAAACAGGTCCAGTCCAGGTCCGGTCCGGTTTTGGACTGGTGTACACCCCTAATTGTCCCTTTGTGTAGGAGACTTGGTTCGGGAATTGTTGTAGTATACTCAGCTATTTTAATAGCTTATTTGAGGTACGTTCGCGTACTTAGCATAATTTTATTGATGTTGTAGCATGCTAAATGTGTTTAATTGATTACAAGTAGTATCATGCTAGATTTGGAATGGAAATTATGATTTGGATGTTATTGGTGATTGGATTATGAAGCATGATTTATTTGTAATGGATTATTGGATTGAAAATAATAGTTTGGAATATGAACCACATATTTATTTGTGGCATGTTAGAGATCATGTTTAATTAAACTAAATGTTTAATTTGGTTTGAAATATTGAAAAGGAATTTTATTATGGTTCATATAATTTTTATTGATGTTATAAGCATGAGGAAGGAGCTAAATAAATGTCTATGTGCACGAGGAATAAATTGTATGTTGGTGCCTTAGTGCACTTAAGGTGTTTTTAATACCGAGGGATAGGTTTTGTGGCGCTTTATGCGTTTAAGGTGTCATTGGCACCGAGGTAGAATTAAAAAGGATTCAATATTAAATATTATGTGGTAATTAATTATTCAAGAATTGAATTGGTATATTTGATTGATTGAATAATTATTGTTAATTGAATGATTATGGTTTGAGAGTCATCACCTATTCTAATAATCTGTAAATAACGTAAAGTGAAGTGAAACGCTAAACATCGCCCGCAATTTACCATATAAAGCCCACAAATATGATATGGTTTGACCATTATGCCCATTTTCTAAAATTGAAATAATCTCGGTGTAAAAAATGTGGAGCCGTACTGGCTCGCCGGGGAGACCGGAGGGCAGGCCGGAGATGCGGGGGACGCCGGAGGTACGTCGTCGTCGACGGAAAACGAGGTAAGTCACCGTTAAAATTCACGGTTTATCGTCAGAGTGGCTCCGGCGCCTAGGATGGACGCCCAAACCGTAGCCTGGACGTCCAAGCCAGACGCCAGAACCACCAGAGTGGCGTCCAGCCCAGACCACCAGACTGGCGTCCTGGCCAGGCGCCACTCCACTGGGTGAGGCGGCCCTGCCAGGCGCCAGTCCAGTGGCTGTGGCAGCCCTGGCAGACGCCACCCTTATAAATTAAATTTTTTTTTTCTTTTTTGATTTTGTTGTTGTTTTTTATTTAATTTTTTTAAAAAAAAAATCGAAAATGATTTTTTAAAAAAATTCGAAATGGGTTTTTTTTAAATTATATTTGAAAATTCGAAATAGGTTTTTTTTAAATTAAATTTGAAAATTCGAAATGGTATATTTTTAAATTTAGTTTGAAAATTCGAATTGGGTTTTTATAAAAATTAAGTTTGATTATATATAATTATGCTTTTTTTTATGTTAATTCTGTGTAAATATAGAAATTAAATGTATTATCCGTTAAATATATTTATTGTAATATATAATTGATGCAGGAATATGGTGGAGACGGAAATGATTACAGTGGGATATTTGGACATGATGGTCCATTCGAAGAAGCTCAACAGGCGATTGATTGGGCAAAACAGGTTGCAATTGCAGCTGGATTTTGCTTGGTAGTAGTAACTCATAAATCTCAACGGGATGGTAGAATGAATCGCATTTTGAGATGTGACCGTTATCGCAAAAGAGAAGAAAGAGATTTTCGTACAGCCACTCGGTTTGATACAAAGCGGAAAGGTTGTGGGTGTGAGTTCAGAGTAAAGGTTCGACAACTACGGAGTCGTGACGGTTGGGAAGTGATTGGTTACTCTAAATGGGGGTATCACAACCATGAGATGATAGTATATGAAGAGGGTAGAGGGTTCGGGCCGAAAGGCATCCAGTTCACCTGTACAATAACAAAATATAAAATTTAGTAACATGAATATAAAATGTGCAAATAATAAAATGTAGAAACAATTTATAAACGTTACCTCTAAGGGGGACAACCTGTCCAGCAATAACCGTATCGATCGGAGGCGGTCAACGAACTTCTTCTCCGAGCGCGGACTCCACGCACAAGCACGCGGCATCCCCTCATCAATAGGAACTGGGTCACGATGTGGTCGCAATGCAAGAAAGTACTCGTATATCCAGGTCTGCAATAGAGACAGACACCCAGTGATACCTGTCGCGTCAGCCCGACTCGCAAATCCTAGTTGGCGATACAAATACGCCAACGTAGCCGATCCCCAGGAAAACTGGCCTACACTGTCGGGGTCACACGCCTCTACGATGTCGCGTGGCCTGAGATTGTTTCCGCCGCTCTTATCCGGAAACAAGGTACATCCGAGGAGTAGAAAAACATAAGCACTCAGCTGTGCGTCGGGCGTCCTACGTGCACTCGGGTACAAACACCGCTGCAACACGGATGCGATCTTCACACCTCCGTGTTCCCAAACACCTAGCGCCTTGGTGTACAGTGCAGCCCTGTCCACCGCCAACAACTCCGCCAGCGAATCTGCCTGATCCGCATCAACCACAGTACAAAGTCGTTTACCCTCAACACGAATCCCCAGAATGGCCTCGACGTCATGTAACATGATCGTCATCTCACCGAACGGAAGGTGGAAAGAGTTTGTATCCGGCTGCCATCGCTCAATGAAAGCCGTGATCAGCGTACTGTCAATCTTATCGTGCATGGTGGCAGGAACGTGATTCACCCCAGTGCCCTCCAGTTGCTCGAACATCTCGCTCTCCGCCGGCCAGGCCTCAGCCCATGTACGCAAAAAGCTACAAGTCTTTTCCCGGGTATGACATTTCAACAACCCCGTAACTGAAGGCCTCTCCTGGTCCTCCCAAATACGGGCAGCTATGTGTCCTAGAAAGCTAGGAATCACACTCCCGTCAACAGGCCCACCGGGCACCTCACTCCTAACAACCCAAGAATCATTACCGGCCCTCGACCGTTTCCTGCTTGCCCCAGATACAGTGGACGCAGATGATGTGCCAGATCTACTAACAAACTTACCACCCCTACCCTTACGCACCTCCACCATATGTGTCTCGTACATGTCATCAACCCTCTGACTGAATGGACCGTAATCATCATACGGTCCACTGCCATCGTCCACATCCTCATCCTCATCTGCGCCCTCCTCCTGCTCCTCCTCCTGGTCACCCTCCTCAGCATCATCATCGTCATCGTCATCCTCATCCCGACGGTGGATCCGTTCTCTACGAGCTGAGGCCGAAATACCACGGGATCTGACATGTCTATGCCCCGACCTCTCCACTGAATAGCTTCTACTAAGAAGCTCTATATTCTTCCCCGCACCATGACGACCCAGTGAATTCTACACAAAATTTTAAAATATATAAACATACAAAAATTTATACGAAAAATAGCTACCACTCCCAAATCAAATAAACTAAAAACATACAAATAATTGTAAACAAAATATAAACATAGAAAAAATACAACGAAATTGAAAAAATTTATAAAAATAAACAACAAAATATAAAAACAATTCAAAAATATATTACACAAAAAAAAAAAAATTAAAAACAATATTTTAAAACAAATATAAAAAAAAGGGGGGGCGCCCTGGCTGGACGCCCAACCAGCGGTGGTGGCGCCAGCTGCAGACGCCGCCACCAGTGGGCTGGCGCCTGGGCTGGACGCCACAGCCACGGCTGCGGCGCCTTGAATAAACGCCACAACCGTGGCTATGGCGTCCAGCCCAGGCGCCAGCCAATTGGTGGCGGCGTCTGCAGCTGGCGCCACCACCGCTGGCTGGGCGTCCAGCCAGGGCGCCCCACCGCCGTCACGGCGGTTTTTCCCTTTTTTTTTTTTTTTTAACAAAATGTACCTTTCCTCCGCGGGACATCCTTCCCCCTGCTGCCGCCGCCAATTCCTTGCCTTGCCGCCTCGACATTGCCGTTGTTTGAAATTTTTTTTTTTAGAGAGGTTGAAAGAAGATGAGCAATGAGAGTGTGAGTGTTTTTTTTTTAAGGTCAAGGGCAATTTTGTCAAACCAAGTGAATTTTGTGGGCTTTATGTAGTAATTTGTGGGCGATGTTTAACAAATCCCAAAGTGAAAGAGTATAAGCATCAAAACTCTTGGAACGTATATACCTTGAGTATGAACATATGGGGGGAGTTATGTGACTTTATATTTGATCATAACTTCTACTGGAGTACGGAGCGCTGTATATTCCTTTTATTATTATTATTATTATTATTATTATTATTATTATTATTATTATTATTATT